GCTCATGGACGGACGTCCTCACCTGTGTTCGTGGTCCCCCATGACCACAGGGGGGTGATGTTAGTCCATGCACATGACCTTCCGTCCGCAGGACATAAGGGTGACAATGCCACGCTGAAAGCATTAAAACAGATTGCTTATTGGCCTGGAATGAAAAAGGATGTCAAGGACTACATAAAAGGGTGCCTGATCTGTGGCCAGTTTCAACCATCCAGACCACTTCACAGAGCACCACTGCATAGTAGAGGCATTGCATTTCCATGGTCGGACCTCCAGATTGACTGGGTCGGACCACTCACTAAGACCTCTAGAGGAAATAAATATTTTCTCACGGTAACCTGCGCGTTTACCAAATGGGTAGAATGTCTACCAGCCCCTAATGACACAGCACAAACCACTGCTATGTTGTTAATGAATCATGTATTTTCAAGGTTTGGACTTCCCCTTAGGGTGAACTCAGACCAAGGTACACACTTCACAGGTGAAGTAATGAAGGAACTGTGGAAGACGCTAGGCGTCAAAGCCAACTTCCATATTGGCTACCACCCACAGGCTTCAGGCCAGGTTGAGAGAGCAAATAGGACGGTGGTGAGTATTTTGAAAAAATACGTAGCCGCAAACCACAAGGACTGGGACGTGAAACTCCCTCTGGTCCTCATGGCCATAAGGGCCACTCCACACACGTCGACTGGCATCGCTCCTTTCGAGATGATGACGGGTCGACAAATGACTCTCCCTCTGCACCTGTTGTACCAACCAGGCGATGCTGCCATGGCAACAGCCTACACCACACAACAATACATGAAAGACTTGGAAAGACATCTTAAGAACACTTTTGCTTTCGCACAGAAAAACCTAGAAAAATCAGCTGAAGGACGCAAAGCGTACTACGACCAAAAGGCCTCTTACGAGGAACTCCAAGTGGGAGACAGGGTCTGGTACTACACGTTTGCACCCAAAACTGGGAGAGTAGAGTCCGGGACCGGAACTCTCGCCCGCAAGCTGATGCCCAGATGGACTGGACCCCATCTGATAACTGACAAAGTGTCTCCAATTATCTACCAGATAAAAATCAGTAAAGGCCAAAAAGAGCCAACTGTTAAATGGGTACACCGTAACCAGGTTAAACAACACAAGGCATGCAATAACTCCTTAGGAGACAAAGACATCACAAAATCTGACCTCGTGGGAACAAGGGTCATCCCTGTAGAAGATAACTAATGGATAATAAACTTAACCATAGTTTAAACTCACAGGACCTACCCTTGATAAAACGGGACAACGTGACTGAAATCTGGCAACCAGGGTGAGGAGAAGCAGTGAAACGATGTTTCTAGATGCTTAGTCACTACTCTTGTCGGTGTTGGAACGTTGTTTAGTTGATTTTGGTTGTTTCTGAGGTAAGAATGAATCTTGTGTGTAGTAAGTTAGAGACTAAGAAGCCTTTGACCATGCCAACATGCAGTTCATTCATTAAATTGCAATCTTTGCGGAGTCAATGTATATTATTGCTACTTTGAGTACCATAATCTACATTGATCTCACAACGCTTAAGCCGAACCTACTCGAACAATTCTATTCGGGGGGATAGCTAATTCTTTTTGATAAGTCTCGCCATAGACTTCCAAAACATTTATGGGAAAACCAAACACCCAATCTCAAGTCGTTCGTCTAAAAGACAACAGACAATTACACCAAACTATATTTTACCATGTAAAGCTAACTTAAACCAAGTTAGAAATGGAAAAATAGTTTGGAACACTTTTCTATAGGCATAAACCCCTGTAGTACCCCTTTTCAGCATTCTCCACCCCTTAACTGGTAGTTGTAGCTGTTCCCAACCATAATAGCTTACACACCAGATGCATATAGTTTAAGGCCTTATGTAAAATCCCCTTCATAAGCCCACCTTAAACCACATAATTGCATGACACATTGAACCAGAACGGCACAGGCTGGACGTCGCTGGAGACAACCTTCGCTGGAGGCGATCTGCAATCCTGACGTTGGTCTCAACTCTTCATCCAGTGGCCGCTTCTTCAGTTCAATCCAAGGGTACCCCTCTGTATGCTGATTAATCAACACTTCCAATCGCTGTGGATTTACCGTTGTGGATTATATGACTTTTTCCAATGGATTACAGACTCTGTTTCCAAGGGGTTAAGGCATTGCTACAATGGGATTATCGAGACGATATGGGATTATAATCAACACAATGGAATACCAAGAACATTGTGGAATTACCTTGACTTTGTTTCCTTGCTGGATTACTTCTGACTTTGGTCTTCCTTTCTGGATTACTTCTGACTTTGGTCTTCCTTGCTGGATTACATCAAGCTCAAGGACATTTGAAGGTCTAAGTTCACGGTTGGAATTCATCCCCATGGACAGGTGATGATTTCCAAAGGGGGGACTGTAGTGAACCAGATAACCTCAAATCTACCAGATGGACAGAGACTGTTATTTTCATTGATCTGAATAAGTCTGAACCATCTGATGAACTTTCTTTCTTGAATTAATCAAGCAGAAAAGACAATTCTTTATAATCATTACTGTCTTACAAATGTTTTGATAATCAAATTGTGTTAGTTCACTCAATGCTTTACAGGTTGAAAAGAACTACTAATTTTTATTTTTACATAAACAGTAAGTAATGATTTTTGTTCCTCATTCAGAGAAGAAATCACCTGAATATGCCTTTCTTGATTTTCTGTCTGAAATGAGCAAGCTGTCGTAAGTATGTTAAAGGTTGGTTTTCGGTCAACTAAAATGTTTACCGAGAAAAATGTCATGTTTTACTATTTGAAAAGATTACAAAGTGTGAGACTCCACGAAGTCTGCTGTTGCTGCAATAATCTTTTCTGTATGTTGTAAACAATCCTTGACTTATGATAACATCTTACGTCACAAATCCACTCCTCTTTCTGGTCCTTCCACGAATCAGAAAGCTCTAAATTGAACAGGAAGTCGACCCAAATAAAATGTGGCAACTTCTCAGTTCATAGAGAAGAAAAGGAATAGAGAATTATGGATTCCAGAATTCCAAGAGAATGAGAGTTCTGAGAGATGTTGGAATGAGAGCTGACAACAGGTCCGATAGTCCAACAGAATGAGCAGATTGAGAGTGCAGCCGGTTATGAAGAGTTTGGAGTTATGAAGAACCAGGGACGTTTGGGATTATAAGTCTGTTTTGAGCTAACCACGCACGACTCTCCGAGGATTTTTAGCTGTGCTTAACGGAGGCGCTGGAAACAGTCTGAAGGATGCTTACTGAGCTGATCTATCGTCAAACCAGGTAAAGGCTTCTTCTTCGACTAAAGTGTACCGTGGACGGGCTGAGGATCTGACGGAGCGTGCAATTTCTGGTTAAACAGATTAAACTTCCCTCACACAGTTCTCTGTAAGATAATCTCCTTTCACTCTAAAACCCACCTCTCTCTCATAAATCAGTACAGATATTTTAGAAATATCTTAAGCAAAGTCCTCAAATCACCGCCGAGTGATTTGAAGTTCATTTTCTGTGAAACTGTCTGTTATTATTTTCATATTTTGCCAAATTAATGTAAATGTTTGATGTTAAACTTTGATTCTGAAAATAAATGATTCCATTCATTTGATGGGTCAAAGATAAACAACGTCTCTCGTTACATTTCTGTTAAATTCAATGCACGACATTTACAGTCAGAAAAATGAAGAACTCGTGAATATTGTATGCATATATAATTCATATATTTGTCATACAACAAGTGACACGTACCTCACGTGTCTCACTACACACATATAAGCTGCACCTGTCTATAAACCGCGGGAGTTCACGTTGTAACATGAGTGGCAGCCAAGGGCGTCAGAAGCATCCGTAATGTGGGGGGGACACAACGATGTGTGTAGGTGTG